TTAGGTACTGGCTAGTCTTAAACGGATATAGGCTGTTCGCTAAGGGGCCGTGTGTTTAGGGTCATTGTCATGTTGAAAGATCCAGGTTACATGCAATTGATCGTCCGAGTAGAGAAGATATTTATGTATTGCCATTGATCCATTGTACCTTCAAGACAATGGACCACCACCCCAGACAGTGCCACAGCTCAGGGGAGCTGCTGTTCAAGAATGGGGTTTCTACAAAAAATGCTGGATAACTTGATCTTCAGCATGCCCAGGAGGATCTCCGCATGTGTTCGAGCCAGAAGAGGAGTTATTTTGTATAAGATAAACAACAATTCATTGATAAAAAATCGGTCTTTTAAAACCCTTCACTTTGAAAGCCCATTGGTTTGATTGGTGGGTTTATGGTTTTTAAGTTTGGTTAAACTATCTTTTTATTTTTATCAAAGTTCTATTAAAAAAGTACTAAAAAATAAAATTAGTTTTATTTTTTAATTTCAGAAAGTGTACTTTTACATAAAAAAAGATATAACGTCAACATTTTCTCTTGATTTAGTTAAATTTTGAAAATATATCAGCTTTTGCAAGTGATCTTAAACTTGTTTTGATGTATTTTTTTAGCGAATAATAATCGTTTCTCTCGGTGTTGCTTGGTAAGAAGCGGTATCTTTCGAGAAATTCTTCCAAACAATTTTGCTTCCACTAATATTCGAAGTATCAGACTTGACGAGATGTTATCCGGGTCATCAGGCGAAAAAACTTCATTTTTAATCAGGTTGGAGCCTTTGCTTGGGTCTTTTTTTGCAACACGAACGATTAGCGTATCTTTTCTGGGAGAGGTTTTTCTTGGCCGAGTCTTTCGAAGAACATTTTCAACAGTTCCATGTGTTTTATAATGATCAATTGCATTAACAATATTCTTAACAGAACAATTCAAATGCTCGCTATTCTTCTGTACGCCCACTTACGATCTATATATAAGTTAACAATTATTTGCCTAGTTGTCGCGTCACAACTTTTATTTTTTCCCATTTTGAATAAAATAAAATTCAGATAACAGTGCAGATAGTGTACAACAAACGAAATTGTCTGACCTTGCATGCTTTACATCGTACATTTTGAATTGCCGCTAAAATAATAAAAAAGTCAAGAAATCAGAATCAGAAATCAATATATCTTTATTCAAATTGGATGTATAGTACAACACTTTTGAATCGCCCAAAATTTTTTTCTCTACCACTCGTTATGGACATATTTTTTAGCTGCGGAGAAAAACGAGCGAAAAAAACTCCACAACATTAAAAGTCTAATGTAACAACATTTACAAATCATTATGTTGTTACAAAGAAAGAAATGTTATTCTCCAATTCAAAAAAAAGAATGAGCTATGGATGCTTTTTTTAAATGTTTCTAATTGAGCCTCCAAGCGTCCAGTAACAAAATAAAATCCTACATGTGTAAGACTCATTTTGTAATTAAAAGAACAAGGACGTATAAAAAAGGCGGACAGAGTCCCGGTAAACAACAAACTGTGTCGCTCAGAGTCCGCCAGGTCGCTATACGTACAAGCCGGCACACACACATTCACACCATAGGGTGCGGCCAGAGTGCACTCAGATTCAGAAAGCAGGCTCGTGAGATGTCAGCTTGAGCAAAGCAGGTGATGGCCACAGTGGAGGCAGATTACAAGACGCGGACGCGAGCACTATTGCCAGGTTGGGGGGGAGTTACCCGAAATTTGGGGGGGTTTTAAAGCGAAATTTTGTTTTGGGCGAAACGGAATTTTTTTTTTATTACATTTTTATATAAAAATAAAACCACTTCATAAACTTTTAATCTGTACAAAGTCGCAATCGACAGTCATTCAACAGTCTCTCTTTCTCATTCGACGCGTACGGAGTCATAGAGTACATTGTTATATGTTCGTTGATCCAGAAACTTAAACATGGAATTTTCTAATGAAGATCTAGCGTGCTTGTTAATGGCTACTGATAGTTGTCATTATAAATTAAAACGCGAGAGAATCGGTGTTCACCAAATTAATAAATTAAGGAGTGAATATGGGGAATACCACCATTTGTTTCCCCAATTAAAAGATGATAGGAAACGTTTCTTCCAATATTTTAGGATGGAAGTGGAAACGTTCTACTACATTTTAAAAAAATGTGAACCTCAAATGATGAAGAATTGGTGTAATTTGCACAAACACAAGATTCTTCCAGAAGAACGCCTTGTTATAACCATTAGGTAAGAATTTATTACAATCTCACTAATCTGGATATGATGGGAACAGACTGTCCGGATTAACCGGAAAGCTGGGTCTGGATTCTCGAGGGTAGTGTAATTTGAATAATTTGTATGGTTTATAGTATATGTAGGAACAATCATTAATAATACAAAAAAATGCTATGTTAATGAAATTATTTTTAATGACAAATAACATTTTTTTTATTATATAATGAGTTTTGCATATCTATGTTAAACTTTAAAATTTTAAAGTAAATATTATCATAAAAAAATTATAAACATAGATAATGACTAATAATATAGCAGTTTTGTTTAATATAAGACTTTATATATGTTTGCTCTTAGAAACTTAAAATTTCAATCACAGCTTTTAATTTACAATTTACTATACTATCACAAATATTATATTTATATAATCCACTCAATTAGGGTACAAAATTATGGCGAACTATAAAAAGAAACAAAATTTTTTGGTTATTAAAAAACATTCATAACCTTAAAAATTGTATTTTTAAACTATAATATTATTCAATGAGTACTTACATCGAATTGATCTTTGCAAAAAAAATGACTTTCAGTGGATAAAGTTACAGGATTTAGCAAGTTTTAAACATGTGTTCATGAAGTATGTTTTTTTCTCTTGGCAATTTAAACCACAACTTTTCTAGTCTTTTACCACGTGTATCATGATAACTACTAAATTTTTCATGTGATCTATTAGAAATCATGGTTTTATAATATTAACTCGGAAAGTTTATTTCCTACGTGCTTGCGTGTGTTCGTTTACAAATGTTTTGACGTCATAGCATAGATAAGTCTATAGAATATACAGCGTTTTTGTATGTCTTGTAGGTAAAAAAAATACATTTTTTTTCGGTCTGATAAAACAATCATTAACATTTCAAAACATAATTGCAAAAAGTGTCAACTAGCCTATTTAACAACAATGTATCCTTGTCATTCTCTATAAAGAATGAAAAGGAGAGACTGATGTTAAATTTAGTTTTAAATTTAGAGAATCATGCCAGAATCGACATCCACCAGTGTCTGTGTCTGATAGTAAATGTCTACCACAGCATGGTTTACCATGCTGTGGTATGGTATAGTTGAAAGCATTTATGCTTCCAATGCAGCGACTTCTCCAAGAACTCTTTGTTCTATCGTCCGTTTTTAAAGAAATTGTATAATAAAATACTCGTTTAATTCGGTTTCACCTAACTTCTTCATTTCACTCAGAAAAAAGTACGTAGATCTACGTACTTTTCATATGCAAAATTTACCAATTCTACGTAATTTTCTCATCGGGCCTACGCATTTTTCAAAATCGGTAAAATGGTGTAAAAACCATAGTGACCGAAAGAAAAAAAATCCAGGAATTACGTTTCATAGGCAAATGAATTATTTAATCACTTTTTTCCAGTTTTTAGAAATCGAAATCAATTTTAATTCTAAGGACAAAATGATTAGTCTAAAGCCCAGTGTTGCCAATGTTAATGTAACCATATTACCTAAAATATGGGAAATTGGGTTGACATTAACTTCAATCTATTATTTATTATTCTTTTTTATCAGATTTCCTAAAGAAAATGTAGTATGGAGAAATTACTAGAACATGAATGATTTCCAAAAAAAATATGTAGTAGTGTCATTTTTAGTCTTCATTTTAAAGCTCAAGACTTATATACAACTAAAGGAGGACTCCGGCGTGTTATTACGTATGCATTACCTCAAAAGGTTGATTAAAATTTTTAACCGACTTCGAAAAGAAAGAGGTTCACAATGCGTCATATTTGTTTTTTTTTTATTGTTGTTCGCGCAGATCTCCGAGATTCGTGAACCGTTTATGATGATTCTTTTTTTGTTTTAATCAGTTTACTAGCGAGATGGCTGCATATTAATTTATTGGAGATCTGATGAGTACTTTCGGAGGAAAACAATGGAACTCCTAAATTACAAACAGTACTTTTAGATTTACTTAGATTTTTTGAAATTTTTATATACCGAGTGCCACTCACACAATCACGATAAATCAAATGACACCTAGGGATGTTCCGATACCATCAAGGTATCGATACCTACTCATTTCGATAGTACTCAAATCTTTTTTCGATACTACTTAAATAAATACTCCTATAGTATCGATACTTACTGGTATCGATACTTTTAGCACTTATTTTTATTTATTTTATACTTTGAATAAACTAAAGTAAAAACAATAAATGTTGAAGAACAAAAATTAAAACAAAAGTGAGAAAAACGAGAATATAAATGTTTTGCGTCACTTTTTTTAACATTTTAGGAATTTTAAGGGATTATTTAACATTTTAGGAATTTTAAGGGATTATTTAACATTTTAGGAGAGCAGTCGCAAAAAAGAAAAGTATAGGATCCTACCTTTCATTGGTCCCTTTATTTGCTTTTTCTCTAATTTGCCTTTATCCAAAATTCACACAGAATTCACAGACTTAAAACATTGTTTACATTTTGCAATTGTTTCGTTTGTTTTGGTAAAATTTTATTGATTTTGGTGGTGCCATGATAACATTAGAATAATAATCCGATGATTACAATAAATAAAATTACTTGAAAACAATCATTTGTATATTCAAATTAAATCTCGACTTGACAGTTTGAAAATTCGTTATGTTGACAATGATGACAACTTACATGTCGGGCGGACAGCTCTCTCGTTTTCGGCTCGGGCTCGGATGAAGTCCGACGAGTTCGGCACACCGCTATGCTGTGAATACCGGTAACCGAGCAAAAGAGCTTTTGCTCTCTCATACTGTCTGCGTTCGGAAATTTTATCTTTTTTAAATGGTGATGCTGATTCGATTTGATACCAAGTACTTTTGTTTCGATACCGAGTATTTATCGCAAGATTGATTCGATGCTATAAATACTTGATATCGAATCAAAAGTATCGAGTACCTACTCGTATTTACTAGTATCGGCACATCCCTAATGACACCTCGCATGTCAAAATCCGTCAAGACGTTCAGGCTGTACGGCGTGCCAAATTATTGGACATGCATACATTCATGCATACATACGCTCGAAAAACATTATCCTCCGCAGTCGGACAAAAAGTAAAATTTTTAACAATCAAAATATTTTCATGTTTTTGCTGTGTTTTATTGGTAAAAAATTGGCTAACCTAGCAATCCTACAATTCACTCACTCATCAATAGCCGCCGCCATTACGGGTGCCTCACAGTATTGTCTTAGCCGAAACTCTGTCCACCTTTTTTTATACGTCCTTGCTTAAAGTATCTTAATTATATGATTAGTGTTCTGTGATGTGAAACAAGCATAGGTAACGTTTGTGATTCCCTTTAAAATGCATAATATCAGAAATATAATCTTCAACCAATGGTGGGTTATCGTGTACAGAACAACATTACAGCTTCTGTGTGATTCAAGTAGGGCTGCCATCTCTAAAATGTGGCAACCAGGATAAAACGCGTGATAACCTCGGATTTTGGAGCCCAGAGCCCGGACAGACCAATAAAAAATAGTTAAAAATATCACAAATCAACTTTTTTATGTTGATCTAGGCAAAAGAGCTAGCAGTTTACCTCATAATAAGTGGTCACTGCTGCCCATGGACACTTGCAGCACCAAGGGCCACTCATGCGTTGCCGTAAATTTTTAAACCCGGACTACAAATAAAACCCCGCCCGGACGCCCCGTAAACTAGGACAAATCCGGGGAAACCCGGACGGATGGCAGCCCTAGATTCAAGTGTATTACCCTTAACTGATGTGTAGTTTGTGCAGTAAAGTAATATGATGCCTTTTTTACACAAATATATGTAATTAAATGTATCAGTTTATGTGACTACTTTATCGCCTTATCAGAAGACTGTGTGCTACTGTACTTTACATTGTTTTTTTTGTGATTTGTACCTTTTACCATTGGTTGTAAAGTTTGTTTTTTTTCTTTCAAAATATCTGTCTATTTGATAAACCAAACTGTATACAAAATTTATATAATTACTACATGTCAAACCATGCTTGTGTAACACTTCTGTAGAAATGTAAGCGTAGAACTTTACAATAAAGTTTATGCAATGAGCATTTTATTGTACATATAACTTACAATTATTTTTTCTGTTAACAGGTTTCACAAATATTAAGTTTAATAGTAAAAGAGCATTTTTTTTAAATGGATGATGATAATACATATTACGAATCAAATCCTATTGAGAATGTAAAACATGTTGAAGGCTGGACTAAACAAGATAAATATGAGCTGCTACAAGTTTTAAAGGTATATGGTTCACATAATATTGAAGCAATCCACGCAATGCTGCCTAGTAAACCCACAAATGAAATAATAGAGATGATTAATTACTACAGAGGAAAAGCATTAAATCATCTCAATGAGAAAAAGAAAGATGGCAAAGTTGTCAAAAGTATTTCAAAAGTACCTCTAAGTATATGGGCAAAGATTCTTACAGATTCATACAATTATAATGAGCTGCAAACTGAAACTGCAAATGCTGTGCGTGTAATAGCAGATTGTGAAAAGTTTCCTCCTGCCACCAATACTAATCAAATTGATTTCAAAGCCATCTATCATGCAGTAGCTAATGCAATGGAAGGAAAAGCTCTGCCAGATGATCCTCTCATAAATTCTATATTACAAAAATGTATTATTGAAACAGCATATAGTAGTAGGACATTTATTAGAAATAGTACCCTGAGAAACGTAATAAATTCTATTAATTTATTTGAAAAAGTTGGTAATACATTTATGAGACCAACTGAAAATTCTGAATTGTTAGCACTTCGACATTTAGCTTCACAGAGGAATTACAATCCTTTAAGTATCGATGAAGAATATCTTAAGCCATCTTTATACACAATCACAGAATAACGCTTCTAAATAGGATCACTAAATCAGTGATTCTCATCATCCTCCCTAATGTAGCAGATGAAGAGGACTCTTAATTATTGTGTGCATATAAAAATAAAACATCTGATTATTTCATCAATAGTTTTATTACATTTTTTTGTCAATACTTTGTTAGACACTATAAATTAATTAATTTAATTCTAAGTAATATTTAATGTTAATTATTAAGCCATTCTACAAACCGACTGAAAAGTTTAACTGCTATTTTAATTACTCTATCCCAAAAGCTCGGTTCATCATCTCTTGTATAGTCATCACCGTCAAAAGCTTCTACTTGTCTCTCATGATCTAGGGATTCCACTTGTCTTCTCTCTCTTAACTTACCTGTAAAATAAGATAACAATTTGGGTATGATGAAATAATAACACTACACTAATATTTGTGTGAGTACTACTACAAAGTTCATCTGATTTTACAATATTTGTAATAGATTTAAGCTTTGAAATCTAACAACCAAGTCACCTAATCATTTATACTTGAAAAATACCTTGACTTTGACGACCTCCTTGGCCGAGTGGTTTGTACGCCGGGTTTCATGGTGTCGCCGACTCGAGAGGTCCCGGGTTCGAATCCCGGTGGGGGCAAATGTTTGTGTGATGATTACCAGCATTTGTACTCCAGTCAAGGATGTAAAATAATTATTTCTATATAAATATACTTATATATGTACAGTATGTATTCTATCTGTTCCCTAGCATCCCATAACACAAGCCTTACAGTGCTTACTTTGGGGCTAGGCTAATTGGTGTGAGTGTTGGAAATATTTATTTATTTACCTAAATTGTTTGTTAACATTTTTAACAAATACTTAGAAATAAACACATTTTTTTAACATTGTTTGCCTGTCTGTTGGACGAACCTTTTTCATAATGGGCTCGAAAATTAAAACATTTTTAAAACATAAATGGTAAAAATGAGCTCGCTCATTTATAGAAAGCGGAGCGAACGCATTAATGAGTCCTTTCTACTCGCAATAGAATTTTACATGTGTGTATGTATGTATGTATGTGTTTCCACCGAGAAAGTCTCTGTGGAAAAGCAATCCTATTTTATGTACACGAACACCGCTCTGTTAGACATCCCCTTTTTTATTACGCAGGCAAAACCTATTTACAGACGTTTGCGCTCTTAAAGGGCGCCCGACCAACGAAAGGACCTCACCCTAGCCTCTCGTAAGTCTCACGGGTGCGAAACAGAGAAGCCGTTAAAAAACGGTTGGTGTTGATGACTTAGGGGCTTGTACATGGATTTGACAAAGGCATTTGATTTAGTAAATTTTAATATACTATTTGATAAATTATATAAATATGGCGTGCGGGGAAATATTCTTGAGCTTATAAAATCCTACCTCAGCGATAGACTGACTGATGACTCAAAGTCTGGCGATTTGAGTTATGGGTTATAACTCAAATCGACAGACTGCTATAAAACTAAATTTGAAAAGTCATATACATCTTCATCAAGGAAAACAGCTTGTGGTGTCCCACAGTGTAGCGCATTTGGACCATTATTTTTTAATGTATATATAAATGATTTTCCTAAATGCATACAAAGTCCCATGATCATGTTTGCAGATGATAGTACTATAATATTTGAATGTAAAAATGAAAATGATTATGAACTTTCAATAAATAATGACTTTGACAAAATTATTAAATGGATGCAAAATATTAATTGTTAATTGTTAACTAGGACAAAACAAAATCGATGACATTTAAACAAAGAGAAAGCAAGAAAATTATTAAAGTAAAAATGGAGCACTCGGGGAAAAAAGTAGAAGAAGTAAATAGGTACTACCAAATTTCTTGGACTTTATATTGATAATAATATGACATGGAAAACTCATTGTAATTATGTATGTGAAAAGCTAAGTAAATTTTCTTATGCCTTGTATATGCTTAATAAAATAGCTGACCGTTCTGCACTAATGACAGCTTATGATGGATACTTTGCGTCACTGCTGAGATATGGCATAATATTTTGGGGAAATTCGAGTAGCAAAGATAGTTTTCAAAGGACAAAAAAAAAATGTGTGAGAGCAATAACTCGACTTCGCCCTACAGACTCTTGTTATCCTCTCTTTATGGAATTAAATATTTTGACTGTGCCTTGTTTATATTTATTTGAAGTTTGTGTCTTTGTTAAAACGAATTTAAAATTGTTTTATAATGTTTTTTCATCTAAACGACACAATGATAAGTTGTGTCAAATACCACATAAAACTGCTTTGTTTTTTTAAATAGTTTATATGGCGTTGCTCCGATAATATATGTATAACAAGTCACCAAAAGATATACGACAAATACATAATGTGGTTAAATATAAAGTGACCTTGAAAAGTTTGTAGTAAATAAAGCTTATTATACATTAAAAGGAATATTTAAGTGATGTTGAAAGGAGATTGCTCAGCTTCCATACATGTTTAGCCTAAAGATCAATAATCATGAAAAATTGTTTCCTAGATTCGTAATTATATATAAATTACTATAAAAACGAATATTGTTGACGGACATCCCTGAGAACTTCTGTAAACCTTATACACTGAATGATTTTGAGGTTATGTTTACAAATAGGTATAGGTACTTTTGTATTAAAATAATAGAAAACAAATAAGTTATTTAATAAACTAGGGAAATTCAGCCAAGTACCGGAATTATGTATTAGATTCAGGTATAATAGAGCATGTAGATTAACAGATAGTTGCCTGTGTTTGAAGTTAATGCCCAAGAATAACTTTTAAAATCAGGTATCATCTATGCATTTCCGGTTATATTATGGTACTCTGTGACAGAAACTGTGGATAGGGATGATTGTGAATGAGCCACAGATTAGAGAGATTTTTTTAACACTCGTTAACCAAAGAAAGCTAAGAGATTTAGGTTATGCAGCCATATCTTCAGTAGCTTCATTATTTTTGTTATGTTTATATTATAACCATATTTTAGATTTTTTGTGTATCACACCTTATAATGTGTTTATGGAGGTGTTTGGCGAAAAATGTTTGGCAATAGACTTTATGATGTCGCCTACCATCTATAATAAATGTCTTAGCACATTTGCATGTAGTGAAAATGATAATATAGTTGTGGATATTAATACTCAGTCTAATAAAAACAATGTTTTATTTTATCGATCTTTACAAAATACATCTGTTTTGATGTTATATAAACAACTTCGATCAGTCTTTGGCTGAATGTTACTACACCCATAGTCATTTAAAATTATTCGTATGTTTTCCAAACCGGTAAAATTAAAAGTCCTTTTTAAAATGAATAAATTATACAAAGGTGTCCGTTAAAATCTAAGGACTGTAAAATAAAGTATAAATTACGCCAAGAACTACCGGATATGTCAATATTTTTTGTACATTTGGGCCAATTTGAGCAATCTCCTTTAAATTATTATTAATGCTTATAATTAATAAGATTCAATTAATCTATTATACTGTTTGACAATGATAATGTGAATTTGACATAATTTTATATTATGTTTAATGAATGGAATAATTGTAATAAGTTTTTTTCTTCTCAACATGACAATTATTTTGCACACCCCATTGGGTAAGAATATAGGATGCTCTTTATCTCTGTATTACCATTTGTTACCATATTCTGCAAATAAAGATGATTATGATTATTATTATGACTATGTTTTTCTTAATTATAACTACATTGTCTTGATTGTACCGAGGTAGGAATATAATGGAGTACCTATAAACTGTATAAAGATTTTTTAAATGTGTGATATACTTACTTGCTGATATTGATATACTTAGCGAGTTTAGTTGGTCCATCCACGACCAAGCATAGGTATTACCTACCTAAGTTATAAAAACTCTTATCATAAGTTAAAAATTCTGTTAGTAAATAAAAAAAAATCATGGTTTTCAAACGATATATAAATCAATTCAATCAATTTGGGTTCGTTGACGTCACTCGTCGTTACTCGACGCAAACGTTGCCAGCTCGCCTACCCTACACACACATGCACATACATAACCTGCCGGCCGCCCCGCGCCGCGCACGCACACTTCTCAGGCGTGAATACAACAGGGGGTAGGTTGGGGCATAGATGGAGTCTGCTGACAATAACTACATCATGTACAGTCAGGTCACAAACCCATTTTAACAGTTAACACCTCTATGTATCTTGTTGTATATGTCAAAATGTACTTTTAATAGTGACCCCCTGATTGTAGGTACGTTCGCATGTAGTTTTTGTATCTTTATCTATAGGGGTTTGTTATTTATGATGACTGTAAATAAAGAACTAGTACAATCAAATTTTAACGTTTACATATTTGATAATCAACATTACAAAATTAAGAAATTGGATTCTTCTAACATCACAGGTATTTACGTACTGTATCCATAATTGGGTAACTACCTATATTAAGAACAACTAAGTAACGTTTAGGCACGGTAATATTATCTACTTATACAGTATTGTGACTCGGCCCTGTCCTTGAAATAACTGCCTACGGCCGAGCGGGGCGTGGACACGCGGTAGGGCTTCCCGCCTAGCTACAGTATTTTAATTTCATCTACTTTATTGAGTTTCTTTCTAGTTTTGTGATTGTAAATATTATTTAAAAAAAATGTTGTGAATAAATTAGGACGTGTTCAATAAAAACATGTTATTTTTAGGTAATATTTAATAAATAAAAAATTGTACATTTGAGACAGAAAAATATTTACGCCTCGACTGAGACGTACGAAAAGCTTTATTATTAAATTTAATAGGTAGTATAATAAATACGTATAAAAAATTAAATTAAAAATACTTTAGGGAAACATTGGCAAGGAGCAGAAAGGGAATATCTTTAACTTGGTTATTTAAACCTGCAGTTACTTTACAATCAAATATTCACAACACAAATCGCACGTTTAAGCACGGCTAACTGCATAAAAAAACAATTCACACCGTTCGGTCGTCGCTGCGGCGCATTCGCGACTGGGTGCCCACCGAGAGTCGCGCGAACTCGATTGGCGTACGTATGACACGCTTTCCGACCGTGTACCGCGTATGAAGATGGAATACTGCATAGATAATATTACCGTGGTTGAGGCTCAAATCAAGTTTTTGAAGTTATACTTCTTTAGCCGCGTTATGAAAAAATTATGAGAGTGAAATTTTAAGATGCGCGCGCATCACTGTAACACAAAAGTAACTTAATGAAATTAGCCGCGGGCGCGTTATGAAAAAATGATGAGAGTGAAATTTTAAGATGCGCGCGCAACACTGTAACAGAAAAGTAACACCATGAAGTCGGCCGCTAAACCGCACATTACTCGTAAGTCTCGAAAAAAAGCTTCCAACAAAATAGTAATAGGATCTCTTAGTCGCACATGTTGGGACGCTCGTCGCCTCTGATCACTGTTTTCATATTTATTATTTAATAAAACTGTAAGAATGCGGGAGGGCGAAGGGGGAGTGTGAGAAGACTGACGTCAAATAAAGATAGGCGTAGGTAGAAAATACTTATATTGTGATTACTATTCAATATTTGTGAAAGGAGAAATGGTATTACTGTATCCCACAAGGGTGGAAGTACATGTATACTATTATCAAGACACTAAGACGTCCTACGTGGTGGAAGCGTATAGCGTGCAAGACAATAGGCCCTACCTACGAAGCGATGACTTGGTCAATTTCCCAAGAACACCTTATACAAGTGGTGTCAGTATAGTATTCGCTATGTGCGAAGTACATGGTGGGGGTATAGTGAAGCGATCGCAGCGCTTATAGTGGCAGAAATACGCAACAATCCGGGAAAGTAAAGTCAATTTGCACGGAGTTCGTAATAAACAAAAATTTTTTAAAATGCCTATTAATAGATGTTGTTGTGTTGTGAATTGCAAAAATAAGGGCACAAATAGTCTGTGTATATATTTCCTACATTGGACTGGAAATTAAATCAAAGAAATAAATGGATAGATGCCATAAAAAGAAATAAGTAAGCGAAATAACCTTAAATTATGATCAATTTTATTTGCGCTATATATTTTATGTGATATTCATTATTGTCTTTATTATTTTAGTGTTGATGGGTCGCCATGGTATCCCAAACCTGACGACACAATTTGTAGTGAACATTTTATGGGAAACAAAAAATCAGACGAGGAAGAAAATCCGAGTTATGCTCCTACGATATTCCCTGAAATATATCGAAAGAGGAAGGTTAATGATTCACAGGTCCTAGCTAGATATACACGCTTGACAAAACGAAGAACCACAAAAGTCTCAGATACCACATCAAGTCAAATAATAATTGAAGAAGGGAGTGAATTAAATCAAACTCAACCTTTTATGATCGATCAAGGATGTCAAGTCAATATGTTTTCTGAATCGAAATTAAGAGATACAACTTTTATTTGTATTAGATTAATTTACAGTGATCACTGTGATCCAACATCAAGAATTTTAATGACAAATAATTCAAGAAAGAAAGATAAAAGCTGTGGCACTGACAAAAAATCGTATGAGGATCAATCTACCGAAACAAAAAGTCAAGAATTTGTTGGTATTTCATCAATAACAAATGATCAAGAACTCCTAGATCCTTCTGGTGTGTCATTTAGCAATTTTGAGTTTTTATTAACAAGATTAACTATGAGAAAATGTACAGTTTCCACTAAAGACCGACTTCTGATTTTTTTGATAAAAATGAAAACTGGCTTGACATTTTCAGCATTGAGTGTGTTATTTGGTGTACAAAAAAACCACAATCTCACGTATATTTCATTCGATCTTACAAAATCTAGCTTGTTCAACTGCTAATTTAATCTTTTGGCCGAATAGAGCCACCGTACAAGCACCAATGCCCAAGTGTTTCAGTCCAGATTACATCAATACAAGAGTTATTATTGACTGTACTGAATTCCGAATTGAAATCCGACATTATTTAAATTATTATACAATATATAATAATTTTTATTTATCTTTACCTTACTATATTTACTAGAAATCAATAAAATACAAACTGATGTTATTATTTGGCATAATCCCGGAAAGTTGCGCATTGTAGGTGGCGCTACTGTCGTGCACATAGCGAATAGCACGATTCACATGCGTACAGCGCCATCTAGTAGCGGTCGGCGTGATGATATTTGATCCTATGATGTGCCATACAATCGGTGTCGGTATAGGATAGCGCGATTCACATGCGTACAGCGCCATCTAGTAACGGGCGGCGTGATGATATTTAATACTATGGTGTTACAAAAATAATGGTGGATTATTAACCACTTAGTGGTTAATAATCCACCATTATTAGACATCTGTTCGAAAGGTACTTTGAACGATCCACGGAGCTCCATAAGATGATCGCGTTGTCAAAAACAATGTTGGCACGCTCGTCGCCTCTGATCACTGTTTTCATATTTATAATATTTATCCACATGTTTCTAGTTTCTATATAGACACAACGTGTTTTAGTTACTTACAAGTGCTAATTACATATGGACTAATAACTTAAATTCAGTAGTGATTTTAATTGAATATTTATTTAATTTTTCAAATTAAAACTGAACTTAATTGACTGTGTTAACTATCCTTTTCCAGTCCTTTTATTATTTTATTGTAATTATTAATTATTTGCATGCAATTAAAAAATATTTTTCATGATGCTAAAGAAGTATAGTTTCTCACGCGCGTACATAAGTTACACGCATCCATTTTTTTATTTGATCATACCCACTGTACAGGTACACACCGCGTGCCGCGGCGCGGGCGCCAGCGCGACGGGCGGCGCGGCGTTAAAGACCTTTCTTTAATGCGCAAGTAAAACGGGCGGCATTGTGTTAATGATGTCTTTTATTTTAATCTAGTGTGTGTTATATAATATATGTAAAATAAATAAGTGCTTAAGTATGAAGGTACCTACATACCTACTTAAGTTTTCGTGGTACCTACGTAATCTACGTATGTATTTCTATTGATTTTCTTTATACCTACTAAGTAATAATTATATAAAAATTCTATTCAAGTGCTTCATACACGAGCTGGTGTGCAGTGAATAGCATTCGCAATGGCCCATTTGTCATAGGATAAAATTAACCAACAAATTATTAGGTACCTACCTATATCGAGTTCCCCCGTGCTTCTATACGATAAGATGCTTGTCGCAGCTGTATCTGTAGTCGTTAGCACCCACCAATCCGCACTGTTCCTGCGTGGTTGTGGGTCATGTCCACGGAGCAAATTATCATTAATGCCCCCACTGCTGGGGCAACCTGGGGCCAAGAAAACCATGGCCCAGGGCGGCAGGCTGCAAAGGGCGGCTGTAAGAGGTTTTCCTTTTCCATCCATAGAAAGGCTTGTTGTACCTATCAGTGGGGACATATCAGGCTAATATTGATATTTAGGCACTCCATTAAAAGGTGATGATCACAATTATAAGTCTTGATTTGAAGAATAAAGAAAAGCACATGGATGGCAAGATACTTACTGTGTGCGATGTCCGTGTCATCCGTAATCTAGAAATAAATATTGTTTCAATTAATAAATCTATATTTATTAGCTACCGATATCGCAAATTACACAAACACTCATTTTCCTGCGTCAAATAGTGCAGTATATGATGTTGGACATTCTGGTAAAAGTATTATATGCTTATGTATATGTAAACCT